AGAAAGCCGTGTGGTTGACTTTGTTTACGAAATCCCTCATCCCAGCCTCTCCTCCTAAGCTTCGGTCATGAAGTCAATCCACAACAAAGGCTTTTCCACAAGGCGTGATGATGGTAGGTGGCACGAGCGTCTCTAGCGTGATGCAAAGCATGCCTCCTATTTTTTGACAACATCGAATCTCTTCCGTTACGACCCATTTAATATTTTCTTCTACCTGGTCGACCAAGCTCATCAATTTCAATTGTTTCATGGCGACTTTATCTTTGGCTGGGTCGGGCTTGGTGTCGATTTCTTCGACATCTTTACGTTGCTACTGAAATCGCTTAATGCCGGTTGTCTCAATGGTCAATCTAAGCGTTGGTGCTCATGCCTAATCTTTTGTTTGCTTTTCATGTTATCCGATCAACGGTATCTTGACGTTGATGATTGATGAACTAACCTACTCTGCTCGTGGGGTCGAAAACTCTCACTTGATTTGGAAACAGAGGGCAACGTGGTCGTTGTCGATGGGTGTGTTGCAAAGTTGATTCTTTGTGGATTGATTTCGAAAATGTTTCAGAGAGTTGAAGAAAGAAATATTATTGTGTTAAAGGTAGTTAGTTGGTTTGCAGAAGACGGACTAAATACTACTAGGTATGTATCGCACAAGGTATTTTCCAGTCGGAGGTGAATTTTATTCTCATTTTTGTCTGGATTCACTGCAGCAATTGGGACATTGAAGAATTTCATGGGATCGGGCCTATTAGTTAGATGGAAATATTCAATTTGGTTGCGTAATTGATTTTCTTCCATCGCGTGGTAGACGGATGAAAATGGGCCAATATCCAATCTCCCCAATATTTAAACTCGCAACTTTTACTACTCTTCCTTCCAAATTTCTTCTCAATAAATTATTTCCTACGTCTAACGTCAAAGATTCACACAAGGAAAATTCAACAGCTGCCGACCTCATCGTTGCCGTTCAGATATAAAAACATGATGGAGAACAAGCAAGATCAGCTTCAAGCTGTACGTGTGCCTTGACTTTCATTGCCCTACCCTCAATCATCGTTCTTATTGGCCTTGCAAGTCGCTGACATCGGTCGAAGCACTTTGAGTCCATCGTAGGCTCTCTTGAAGAGCACGAGGAGGCACTGTTCAACCCTTTCGCTGAGATAATTACAGCAGAGGCAATGAAGGATCTTAAAGGCATCAAAAATCCCTTGGCAAAGGTTGTAATCCTAAGACAAGAATTAGGTCTCGGTGAGGATGGGGAGTCCTGGGAGGAGAAATCTGTAAGAAATTCGTCACATTATGTGAAGCGCCGTACTAAATTCTGAGTACAGATGAAGATGGCCGATGAGTACGAAGCAATGGCCACTATTTACGCAACACCGCGTCGACTTTTTATGGAAACGAGGAGGTTAAGACGCTCGTTGCCAATGCGTTCGAGGAATGGAGAAACTGGGAGCGAAGAGTCAGTCCAGAGTCAAACAGCGAAGGGCAACTCACGGAGAAGGACATTGTGAACTCGCTTAACAAGGCTCGAGATCCGAACGAGGCAGAGGTCTTGTCTAGCAAAGATTACATTGAGAGGTTGGTGAAGTTAGCAGCTGAGAACGCCAAAGATCGCGCTTTAGATGGAGAAGATTAATGGTGCGGTCATGAGCAGAGAGTTTTCGAGTACATGCGATGGATTTCAGCAAAGGGCTTATGCTCAATAGCTTTCCGAATACATGCGATGCGGTTCAACAAAGGTTCATACTTAACGGTTTTCCTGAGTATTTGCGTTGGCTCAAAAAAGGTTCATGATCGATGGTTTTTTGAGTATTCGCGATGAGGTTCAGCAAAGGGTTCATGCTTGGTTGGGAAGGAATACATCTAGTCAGAAGTAATTCCTTCTAGTTCTTCTATCATCGAACATCAAACCCATGAGTAGACTCAACGATGACAATGGTGACCATGCTTTATTTTGACTTGCTCTTACTTTAGCAAATCTTCGAGAGAGCGTGGGAGTAATTTGAGAACTTCGAGTGGATTTAATGGTATTAGTAAGTCTTGCTACAATTGAATTCGAGAGCATCGATGGAATATTTTACAAGAGTGATTAAATTGTTGGGCATCGGTCAAGATGAAATGTCCCGAATACATTCAATAATTATTCCAAACATCATCCTTGTCTTATTACCCGAATTCATTTCAAAGGAGAGATGTGTCCATGCCGAAAACTCGGAAATCATCAACAGTATATAGAAAGTGACAAAAAACGGAACTCGATAAATACTCCCTGGATATTGAGGTTGATGCATACAAGGAGATAAATACAGTCTCAATCAATCTCAACAATTCCATTAAAATTGAAGTCAATAGGAATTTTTCCACAGATGGTTATTCTCTCAGCTCTGTTTTAATCAAATGATGATTTTGTAATATCTGTGTTATGGTGTAATTAGAACTAAATGATGCTTATTGATGCTCTTTAGGTAATTGTTGTTCGAAGGTACTCTTGTGATGCTGTTTGGTACAGTTTGGTCGGTCTTTATTAACGACTTTCGCTTTATTCTCGTTGATTCTTATCGATTGATACCTTTAGTTTGCTTGGATACTGAGACTATTGAATGATTGGATATGCTTGAGGACGTTATATCTTTGGAAATACTGATTTTATGTTGGATATTATGTTCTTTTGGGTGATTAAATCCATCTAGAACATTTATGATTTAGAACAATGAACCTATTTGAAACAATAAATTTACTTGGAACTATGACCCTGCTTGAGACAATAATCAATTGATTCGAAATATTGAATCTGTTTGGGATACTGAATATATTTGGTACAATGAGACTACTGAAGACAACAGGATCAATCGATACAATGTATTTATTTAGGGCATTGAATATGTTTGGGACATTGCACTTATTTAGAATATCGAATATAAAATAATCCATTTCCTTCACCATCATCAGTACTTATAGCGACATCGATTCCCTTCCAATGTTTAGAAGGAGATTCAATTTGCATTCATCTGAGAAAGTGAGGAATTATCTCCCGGTGTTTAAGTCTTTACTCATCCCTTGCAAATCGTCTTCCCTTTCGCCAATTTGAAAGTTCGATGTCCTCCACAGATTCATCAACGACGTCCAGACCTGAAACTCTTTCATTGTTAAACTTGAGTTCAGATACTTAGGAGACTTCTATATCGCACATAGTTTTAGTTTATAATATTGAATTAAAGTTGAACTAGATATATCTGGAGACGTTATACCTTGAATTTTTATAAGAAAGTTGAGCCAGGGGAATTGGTGCAATGCCAACGAGATACTGTGCCAGTATTAATGCTATATAGATCACATCTTTGCCCTCTTGACAAAACATCCATAACATGGTAATGATATCACGGTCTTCGTGCCTTTTTCTGCTCAACGTCGAAAGATGGAGGAGAGCTTAAACTTGAGAGTCCCTAACTAGTCATGGGGTTGCGGTCAAGACAGTGAATTTGTATGAGGATGTTGACGGATGAGCTAATCCATCGCCTCGGCACCCATGAACGAAAGCGATCTTGCTATTCTGGAGTTTTTCACTACTTGGAACCGAGTCAAAGTCGCGGCCACTTGAGCCCAACAATCTCCTATCCTCGTGGAAAATTTTGAGGGGTGCTGCCCAATAATCCGAACTGCAGTCTAACAATAGAGAGCTCTTTTTCTTCGAACACATTTGATACACTGACCCATTTGGGATATTGGAGAGAATTCATATTCTAAAATCTTGTGCAAGATCGCATCACATTTCGAATAGGAAATTGCAGTGAAAGATTTAGAGATCTTGGAAGTTCAAGATTTTAAGGCCTGGGTTGCAGTTCAGACTGTTGGAAATTTTAGAACTAGGTCCCGGTTACTATACATACGGTTTTGGTCTAACAGCCCCAACATGTACACTAACCATTCCAGAAATCTCAGAACAACTTCTATGTTTCGAGACTAATAGAAAAGAAGCAAGAGCTTCTCTACGTGATACTGGCACTGGCAAGAATCGAGCAGGAGAAGTAACGTGATGACATAGAAGCGAAGGCGTGATTTGGGATTTAAGGCGCATGATAAGATTGGAGATACGTCTACTGGTAGGTTATTTCCAGATTTAAAGAAGTAGAATAAGGAACCCAGAAACATGTGTCGGTCAATTAGGTCGATAGTTATCGTCTAGTCCGATGTAGCTAACTATGTGAAGGAAATCGGTGGGTGTCGCTTGACAATGATCGCGATGTGGATATATGTGAGTAGAGGTAGATTATTGGCGGAAAAGCCGATAATAATATATATCATTTTAAGAATCATCTGGGGAGTCTCTGTTTCGTTGCTAAGTAAATTCGCTGTGTATTCCACAATTTGTATCCGTATCCACCAAATCTATTTGATGTCCATGATGGAACAGTCTTAAAGAGCCTAGTGCACTTTTTGAAGGGCATAGTTTCGAACTCCTTGCGATTTGATATTATGATGAGGTTGTATATGTAAATGGTGTTTGAGAGTCAGAATTTGGCGTGGGATTGAGCTTTAGTCAAAGGAAGGTGTTGACAGACCTCAATCATCTTAGAAAGTGACGTTGATCTGTTTAACAAAACTTTTTATTTGACGTCTAGATTTAATTTTTAAAAGAAAAATAGCAGGAGTCTCTAGGATGCTCAGTTTTTTAGCGTAGCTGCTGCCCCTTCAACTGATCCCCTGTATGTAATACGTAGGATATACAATCTCAGTATCAAACAAAGAAAACCAACCACTGAATAGTGGCGAGAGTGGCTACGAAAGGTTTTAGCACATTAAGGTAGGGCTCAGCCGTTCGTTGCCACATGATTAACCCCCAATGAGGAGGAAAAAGTAGAGTTCACAGTATGTCTCCACCCACATATGTGGGACCTTCTCTTTTGCAAATTTCCCTACCATACAAAGCGCATGTACCTGTTCAGTTCACAGCAACGAATAGACTAAAAAGAAGTAAAGACATTTACGGAAGGATGCAAAAGAATTGCCCGATCTAGGAATCGAACCTAGGATCTCATCATTAAAGTATTCTAGGATACGAGTGATGCGCGTTAGCCACTGCGCTAAACGGGCTGTTCTTGATGTAGCTCGACTTCTTATGAAATTATATAATGTGTGAAATTTTGAAATTTTTGAGATGTTGGGCATTTTTAGGCGGGTCGGGAAATTCTCGGGTACCACTTGGGATATGTCGGGGAATCGGCCTTATGCGGGATAATCTTCGGCAGCTAGGGTCGCTCAACAACTTGAGGCAATGCATTATTCATTTGGAAGGAACTCTATACCTTAATTCTACAACATCAACCTCCAACATCAACGTCACATCTTGATTGATCTATGGAACATTCATATGAGTCTATAAGTACAACTTTCTACAATGCGTCGATACAGTTCATTATTAAATTCAGCGGCACTAATATTCATATCGTCTTCGTCATGTACCTACAGCAACACTTGAATGTCTTATCCATTCTTACTTGGATCGTCGAGAAGTCCTCAAGTGCTACTCCGTACAAGCAACAACAACAGCCGCGCTTGGTACAGTGGTAATTCGCGTCTCACTCGTACATCTAAATGCAGAAATGAGAAGATCCCCGGTGAAGGCTCTTGTCTTGATCGATTCCCCATCAAGACCCGATCAAATCTCAAGATGCCGACCCGACTTCCAAATCTACGACTGAGTTAGAGCTCCTTCAACTTCCCTCATACATCGTGTTATCTCTACTCCATCCTACAGCAGTATGGTTAGAAAATCCATCTCATGAGATTCGAGTAACTTACCGGTTCTCCAGTAGGCTCGAAGCTGTCAATCAGTTGGCTCTCATATATTAGGTTGGGATTGCCTTTGATTTCGGTGTCCAACGCCTCAACCCCACCATATTGAGTTGCGGATCGTTTCGCAAATCCATCAGTATCTAACTTTCCTTTCTGCTTCAGATTTTCCATCTTTTTCTCGACAGTGCTTCGTACATATTCTAGGTACGGAGGGTTTCCTGGGCTAATAACATTATCGGCAGCGAGAACGGTTCCTTTCTTAATTAGACCCAATTGTTCACACAACTTCAGGTCAGTCGTGTACGCTGGCTTATAATGATCTAGAAACATCATATCAATGGTCTTCAATCCACGAGAATGTAATTCTTGTATTCCCTCGTTACTAGGACCAACAACCACCTCAACAAATCCTTCAAGACCAGCAAAATTCACGAGCGCACTGATAACTTTCGCGAATTTTGGACTTCTTTCTAACGAGTAATACTTCTTCCCTCCCGCAGCTCGTACTGCAGCCCCGAAAAGTATCGTGGAGTATCCGCAATACCCTCCTAGCTCGACCATTATTTCAGGTTTCTTTTCTTTGATTATATTGGTAACAATTACTCCTTTGTTTTCTCCGACGTTCATGAGGTATCTTTTCGTTCGCCCATATTCATCGATAGCTTGCAATACGTTTGCTGGCGAACCTTGAATTTCGGATCGATCAGGATGATTTCGTACAAACTCAACAAGTTCTTCCTCTCGCCCATCGTCGAACTACATGGAACATTAGCAGTGAAGTATACTTGATTTTTAATCAGGAAACCCACGAATATCTCTTCCTGCGAAGCATAAGACTTTGCCTTATCGAATTGAGCCATGTCGTTGTCTTTGCAAAAGTTGCAGAGAGCAATGCGATACTTACTATTCGGCCTGTTTGCGGAACAATGATTCTAATCGTAACCGCAAATATCCGGAAATGGCAAAGTGAATACAAGATGTTTCACTGCATATAATCTTCCGAGAATTCGTGGCCTCGCTTTCTAGGCACTGCTGCCGTGCTCGGATCTTGATTTTCGCATATTTGAACAGATGTTGGTGTCATTGATTTTTTGATATGTCGTATCCGATGTTGAATTTTAGTCGATTATCAAACTACATGCATACATCAATTACGTCGATGCACTAAGGCGCACTAAGGCTGCTTAGACTATGGTTTTAGCTTGAAAAGGCATGTGGGGGAGCTTTGTTTACCAAATCTATGAACAGTACGTTTTCAAAAACGTACAAAATAAGACAGAATTACGGAAATGTCACCTACAAGTTGTAGCAATCTACAAGATAGCAAATAGTTCCCAATGAAAATGAAAATGATAAGCAAACGCACGCCTCCAGCCTGTGGTAGTACGAACGGGTAGATGCGGATGCCGTGGTACTATACCAAGTGTCAAGATTTCCGACCAGAAAAGCTATGAAGATAGTGTAAGGCGAACGATGGACTCAATCTACCCGAGATCTGGAACCAGCTGATCGTGGGGTTATGGAATTCGCTCATGCTATGGTATTTGCATGCCAGGGGCGGGCCGTTTCCCTGATCTTTGCATTCTCTTCGCGCTTGCTTAGTGCATTTTCGTTACTGTACACTGTACAGGGACGGTTTCGCCCGGTAATTCATCTTCTTTGTATTTGCTTGTTCCTGGTTTCGGAATTGACCTCCAGGTAGTCTGGAAACGTTGCGGTGGCTGAACCGTTCTTGGTTAGCGTGGGGTGATAATGTCATAGATTTATTTTGTGGACTGGCTATTGTCACCTTGCATGTTTGACTGAACAATCTCCGTACGTCAACTGCTTGCATTTGACCAATATTGATATGTGACTTGAAAGGCATCGGTGTATGTTTGATAATCTGCGGTGTACTAATGAGACATAGTATGGCCTTGGGGTATGATGGTGTATGATGGTGCAATATTAGTAAATCTAATAGTAGAGTCTTAGTGACGCTGACTTCGTCCTATCTCTACCTTGTGTTGTTTAAAAAGCCCCCTCTCCCGAGATCTGTTTAAGCATCCGCAGCAAGACTTCCCACAGTACACTTCACTTAAGACCATTTAATATGTCCGACCTCAAAGCGACCGTTTCAGAGACCACAACAAGTTCCGGTCATGCCGGGTTCCATGTTGAGGGTTATGAGAAGATCGAATATGACTTCACTTTTATTGATGGTGTCTTCAATGTCGATAATCCAAATCTTGCAGACTGCTATAGCCATTGGGGAAGATGTTTAGCTGTCACTGACTTAAACATCTACAATGTCTATGGAAAGCAGATGGAAAAGTATTTCGATCATTATAATATCAAACTGGTATTCCATAAGACAAAGATCGGAGAAAAGGCAAAAACCATCCCTACGTTTTTGAGTATTGTGGATTCCATGACCGAATTTGGAATCTATCGCAAAGTTTGTACTCTGACCGACTTTTAATGGCTTATCAAGTGCTATTCTAACATACTTTCAGGAGCCAGTCCTTGTTGTCGGAGGAGGTCTTGTCACTGATGTTGCTGGGTAAGTCGCATGCCGTTTCAATTCAATCTTTTCGAAATCATGTGACTAAAGTTAGATAACTAATTGTTTCACAGGTTTGCATGCGCAGCATATAGGCGAAACACCAATTTCATTCGTGTTCCAACTACTGTCATTGGATTAATTGATGCGTCTGTATCAATTAAGGTTGCGGTGAACTATGGCAACTACAAGAACAGACTAGGCGCCTATCATGCCCCAATTCATACTTTCCTTGATTTCACATTCCTACGAACACTCCCCACGGCCCAGATTCGCAACGGCTTTGCGGAATTGATTAAAATCTCATCATGCTCTCACCTCCCCACTTTCGATCTGCTGGACCAGTATTGTGAACAGCTCATCGACTTTTCTTTTGGTCGAGCCGATGGTTCTTCCAAGGAACTGATTGATGCCGCAGACAAGATTAACAGAGAGGGTATTCATGAGATGCTGAAATTGGAAACGCCGAATCTCCATGAGATTGGTTTGGATCGTGTCATCGCCTATGGGCACACGTGAGTAGCCATGCTGCTATAGATCTCAAATTGTTGCTCAGTCTAACATTGTTAGATGGTCACCACTACATGAACTTGTTCCTGATACCCCACTCCGACATGGCCACGCGATTTCTATTGATATGGCATACTCTGCAACCCTTGCCAATCAACGGAAGCTCTTAAGCGATGAGGAGCATCGCCGTATCTTGAACTTGTTTTCTCGTGCAGGTCTATCAATGGATCATCATCAATTTGATGAGGAAATTCTTGAAAAGGCTACTGCCGCCATTCTCAAAACACGAGACGGCAAATTGAGAGCTGCTGTCCCAAATCCACTTGGGTCTTGTACCTTCCTCAATGATGTCTCTGCCGAGGAAATGAATGATGCTTTACATCGCCACAAAGAGCTGATGAAAGATTACCCAAGAAATGGAGAGGGTTTAGAGGCATTTGTCGACGCTTCTGATACGGGTTACACCGAAAATGCGAAGATGGAAGAAGAAAGAGTGATGGAAATGGCCGCGAAGAAGGCCAGTCAGCTAAACGGCACTAATGGACATGTGAAGGCAAAGACGGAAGGTAACCATGTTGCTCTCACCAATGGAAAGGTGAATGGTTTTGTTAATGGCCATGGTAATGGGGCATTGAGCAACGGCACGACGGGCAACTATTGATGGATGTTTGAAATCTAAAAGAGGAAGCTTTTTGAGTTTTTAATGTTATCGCCATGGATATGACACATGATTTGTATTGTTTCTTTAGAACGATGAAGCTTTCTGGAAGATGGTTATAACGCTTTTAACATAATGGCCATTTAAATATAATATATCAAGTTGATATAATCCCCAAGTAAAAATGCATCGCTAGGTATCTAGAGATAAGATCTCGATTCTTAAATTGGTAATTCTTATATAATCTTAAAGGGTGTTTCTTATATATTTGAATTATATATCTAGAATTAATAGTCGATTCTTTATAGACTAGTCGTTTTAATAAGCTAGTCGGAGAAAACAAGTTTTTTTTCGGGAGGGGGAAGGGGGAAGGGGGGAGGGGGGAGGAGCGGGGGGAATTATAATATTGGTTTTAATTTTGTAGGTTGGGTTTTGTATTTTGTATTTTGTGTTTTGTTATTTGTGTTTTGTTATTTACGTTTTGTTATTTGTGTTTTGTTATTAATATAATTATTAGTTTTTAAACTTATTGGATTTTGATGATTAGATAGACTTTAGTGGGTTGATGGGTTTATAGTTGTTGAAATA